AAAATACAATTAAGCATTTAACTGACCTCTAGATTAAGTGATTAAGAGATTTGAATACATAGGAATGTATAAAATTCTGTGTATTAGAAAACAAAGCACAAAAATAAAAAGCAGTTTGAAGCAGATGAGTAACTAAGCACATTTATAAATAAAGAAAACCTTAATATCCCAACAATAAAAAAGGGAACAAAGTAGACAACACTCAGATGGAGAAACTGACCATTAAACCTGTGAGAAAATCTTTAGCTTTCCTTGTAAGGTATAATTCATCAATATTTACCATTCAACATTTCTAAGATTTCTTTCAAATACTCAGCCTTTGTAAAGTCCATGAAGGGTTCACAGACTTAGGTAACATAATAAATCTTTATAGTTCTCATGTTTTTTTTTATCTCAACTATTTAGTTTGTTAATATGCATCAATAAACATAAATATTTTCTTTAATTATTAACCCAGTAATTAACTCAAATTATAGGAATTAATACTAAGATATTACCACATATGCAAAATATAAGGAACCAATTTAACTGTAATTTTTAAACTTCTAGGCATACAGTTAAATAATAAATTTATCTGTAATAGTTATTAGCTTATACTTGTATGTTTAAATTCTCACATAAACATATTGATAAATGTTGGGCTTTTTCTACTCACATTTTTCCTTATTCAGATTTTACTCATATTTTTTATATCACCAGAATCATTTTTTGGGCCATCAACACAGTTTTTCAAGACACATCATCTTCAGTCACATCCAAGTTATGGGACATACAACCCCTTTTGAATCTGCATATAATGCTTTCCTGAAAAACTATATTGCAAGCCACAATATGGATTCATATGCTATTAAGAGAGTTATTTATCTTTGCCCTGCAAGGGAGTGAGGATATTTTGGTTTTGGCTTTCAATAAAGAAACCACTTTCAATATGATTTTTTATAGCTCTCTTTAAAAGACTTGTCTACAATGACATCTAATACTTGAAATAAAAAGCTCATACTTCCAAAGAATAACTTTTAAATCTGTATAAAATTTCTTTGAATACTTCTGTCATGTGACATCTGAAAATATCTGAAATGAGTATTTATTGAAGTCACTTAAAGTGAATATATCTTATCCAATCATTATATTTTGTTTAAGAAAGAGTATTTGAAAGACTGTTTTGTAGTACAAAATATTTTGTGAGAAAAAAGTGTTAATTTTCTCTTTTATGAGAGAATTTTAGATGTAAAGAATAACTTTTGTCAAGAAATAGAAAATATGAACAGACCAATTACTAGCAATGAAATTGAAATGGTAATCAAATTTCCCAACAAACAAAATTCCAGGACCAGATAAATTCACAGAAGAATGCTGCCAAACCATTAAAGAATACTTAATACCTATGTTTCTCACACTATTCCAAAAAATTAAAGAGGAAGGAAGGCTTCCAAGTCCATTCTCTGAGGCCAGCATAATCTTGATACTAAAACCAGACAAAGACACTACCCAAAAAAGAAAATACAGACCAATGTCCATGATGAACATACATGCAAAATCCTTCACAAATGTTAGCAACCCAAATTCAAAAGTACATTAAAAGCATCATCCACTTATGATCAAGTGGGAGTTATTCCAAGAATGTAAGGATGGTTCAATATCTACAAATCAATCAATGTAATACAGCATTTTAGCAAAAGGAAGGATGAAAAACATACAATATCAAAAAATGCTGAAAAATCATTAGATAAAATTCATCCATTCATGGTAAAAACTCTCAACAAAGTTGGTATAGAGGGAATGTATCTCAACACAATAAAGGACATGTATAATAAACCAATAGCTAACAACATATTCAATGTAAAAAACTGAAAGCTTTTCCTCTAAGATCAGGAACAAAACAAGGATGCCCACTCTCACTACTTTTATTCAACATTGTACTGGAAGTCCTAGCAGAGCAATCAGACAAGAAATAGGAATAAAAGGCATCCAAATTGGTAAGAAGAAGTAAAATTGTCACTATTTGAAACTGACATGATACTGTATATTGAAAATGCTAAAGACTCCACCACAAACTACTAGAATTAATAAGTGAATTCAGTGATGTTGCCTGATATAAAACCAATATACAGATATCTGTTGCATTTCTATATACAAACAACAAACTAGCAGAAAAAGAAATTAAGCAAACAATCCCACTTACAATTTCATCAAAAAGAATAAAATACCTAGGAATAAATCCAACCAAGATAGTGAAAGACCTGTACTCTGAAAACTACAAGACTCTGATGAAAGAAATTGAAGATGACATAAAAAATGGAAAGCCACCCCATACTCATGAACACAAATTAATATTGCTAAAATGGCCATATTGCTAAAAGCAATTTGCAGATTCAATGCATTACCAATATCAGTGACATTTTTCACAGAATTCAAACAAAGAATCCTAAAATGTATATGGAGCCAAAAGACTCCAAATAGCCAAAATAATTTTGAGAAAAGAACAAAGCTGGGGTATCATGCTCCCTGATTTCAAACTGTACTACAAAGCTACAGTAATCAAAACAATATGGTACTGGCACAAAAATAGACACATAGATCAATGGAACAAAATAGCCCGGAAATAAACCCCTGCTCATATTATCAGTTCATATGTGACAAAGGAGGAAGGAATATACAATGGGGATAAGACAGTCTCTTCAATAAATAGTGTTATGAAAACTGGACAGCTACATGCAAAAGAATGAAATTGGATCACTGTCTTATACCATATACAAAAATAAACTTGAAATGGATAAAGACCTAAATAAAAAACCTGAAACCATAAAACTACTAGAAGAAAACATAGGCAATAAACTCTTGAGCCTTGGCATTAGTAATTTTTTTTCTGGATATCTCTCCCCAGGCAAGGGAAACAAAAGCAAAAACAAACAAGTGGGACTACATCAAACTCATAAGTTTCTGCACAGCAAAGGTAACCATCAACACAATGAAATGGTAGCCTACTGTATAGCAGAATATATTTGCAAATTATATATCTGCTAATGGGCTAATACCCAAGTATATAAATAACTCACACAACTCAAAAAAAATAAGTAATCTGATTTAAAAATGGACAGAGGAACTGAATAGTCATTTTTCCAAAGAAGAAATACAGATACCTGAAAAGATATTCAACATCACTAATCATCAGGGAAATGCAAATCAAAACCACAATCACATATCACCTCACATCAGTCAGAATGGCTAATATCAATGAGACAAGAAATAACAAGCATTGGCAAGGATGTGGAGAAAAGGGAGCCCTCATACACTGTTGGTGGGATGGCAAATTGGTGCAGCCACTACGGAAAGCAGTATGGAGGTTTCTCAAAAACCTGAAAATAAAAATATCATATGACTCAGAAATCCCACTTCTGGGAATTTACCCAAAGAAAGAATCAGTAGTTTGAAAAGATATATGCAGTTCTATGTTTATTGCAGCATTATTTACAATAGCCAAGTTATGGAAGCAACCTAAGTGTCCATCAGTAGATAAATAGGTAAAGAATATGTACTGTATATACTCAGACATAAAAAAGAAGAAATCTTACTATTTGTGACAATGTGGGTGGAACCATATACAATGTGGAGGGTATTTTGCTAAGTAAAATAAGTCATACAAAGAAAAACAAATACCATATGATTCAATGTATATGTAGATTCTAAACAACAAAATAAATGAATGAACAAACAAAAACAAAACAAAAAACTCATAGACATAAAGAACAGACTGGTGGGTGCTATGGGAGGAGTGGGATGGGGATTTGGACAATGTAGGTAAATGAGATAAAAAGATACAAATTTCCAGTTATAAAATAAATTATCCATAAGGATGAAAGCACAGCATAGGGAGCATAGTCATTGATGTGATTTCTTTTTTTTTCTTTGATGTGATTTCTTTATTGACATGAGGTAAACTACACTTATGGTGGTGAGCCTAATTTAATAACATACATAATTGTTGAATCACTATTTTATACATCTGAAACCAATATAATATTGTATTAACTATATGTCAGTTTTAAAAAGGGGAAAAAATAATACCTTGTCATATAGTGGAACATGTACAGTAATCAGACATGATGCAAAGATTTATATGCAAGAGTATTTATAGAAGCATTATTTTAAAACAGTAAAAAAGTTAAATGTCCAGTGATAGAAGATACTAAAATTATTATGCATCCATCAAACTGAATACCCCATACACTTATTAAAATTCTGTGTTAAAATAATAATTAATAATAAGAAAAATGCTCCTAAAAATAGGTGAAAAAAATCTTATAACAAAATTATAGGTACTGATGTGGAGAAAATATGCATATGTTTGTATATTTGCATAGGAAAAGAAAAAACTGGGAAAAAGATCAAAGTATTTTGATGATTACTTTTCAGGTTGTTATATTTAAGATGATTTTAGTTAACTGCTTCCTACTTTATTATCCTTTTAAAGTTTTTTCTTAGGCTGTATTAATTCTATTATCAAAAAAAGAGCATTGATTTTATAAATGCTCTACAAATTATTAATTACAGTATTATTTTATCTTTGCAATTTTTATTGAAATATTGATATACAATATTTTATTGGTTTCCGAGTACAACATAGTGATTTGACGATTGCATTACTTCATGCTAACCATGTTAAGTATAGTTATCATCTGTCACCATACAAAGATATTACACTATTATTTGCTATATTACTTTTATCCACCAAAGGCTTGATTTCTCTTATTTTCCCTGTTGAATAAAGTGTTTGATCACTACTCTATAACTCCACAGTGTAAAACATTTATCAATGGCTTGTGCTGCTTCATTCATTGAGCAAACAGATGTATGGTGCCCCAATCTCCCATCCAGTTTTGAGTAGACAAAAAAGAGGGGTAGAAACAGACATGACTGAGCCCCATAGCAACCCCTTACATTACTGACTTCATATTTGCTCATTATCATGCAGTGTGCTTTCTTTACTGGTCTGTCTGCAGTCTTTCTTCGTGGACCACAACAGTCGAGCTACCACTTTCATTGACCCCCGAATCCCCCTTCAGAACGGTCGCCTTCCCAATCATCTGACACACCGACAGCATCTCCAGAGGCTCCGAAGTTACAGCGCTGGCGAGGTAACACTCCCCGCTCCCCGACCCACTGTTCCCAGGTCCAAGGCGCTGCCTCTTCCGGTGGGGCCAGGGCTTCTTCTAGGTGGCCGCGATCTAGGGCTGTCTGCTGCTCAAGGGGCCAAGCCATACCCACGCTGTTCTGTAGAAGAATGAATGGTGACTCGGGAACACCCACTCAGCTCCCTGGGCCCATCTTCTCATTGCCGTCCTTCTGTCTTCCCTTTTGCCCTACAAAATGGCCACTAAACTGAAGGAAACTAGAAAGGCAGTAGCAGGAGATCCTACTTAGGACTGGAGCTGTGCTCCCTGAGGTCTACCAGTCCCATGTGATTTTTTAAAAGATCATGGAACTGTTCTGCCCTGTATGACTGACTTTAAACTTGGGCCTCTCCGTTGATCTTGGAGAAGACATCAATAATGTATACAAGGACTAACAACTGGGGGAAACCAGCAGGGCTGCATGAATGTTCTGTCCCATCCTATAATGCGCTTTTCCCTGGTTCTTGTCCTCTTCTCCCACTTACAGTGACCTTCTGCTGAACTGTGGCAGGCTGTCACCGTTTTTAAGCATCATGTTCATTGCCCTTCCAAATTACTGTCACTACGTCCTACACCCTTTCCTACCCTCTTTTGTCAAACCCAAACTCAAAACATAGCTCTTTCCTGCTTCCAATCAGCTCCTGACATTAGGAGCAAATCCCATTTTATGTCCTGACATTTCCCAGTTCATAGACATCATCAGGATCTCAGGAGATGTGGTTGGATTACAGTGAGGTAGAAAATGAAAAAAAGTGTGGGAAGAAAAAAAAAACGTATGTGGCCCCCACAGAGAGTCCTTCCAGGGAGAACCACCATGGACATCTCAGGAAAAACTGGGAAAATAATGATCTACCTGACAGCTTCCAGAGAGCAAACAGAAGCCTCACAGGAAGAGCCTGTCGGTGTATCAGCACCAGTTTTAAGGGAAGCCTCGTGTACAAAAACAATTCTTCAGGGAATCATCTGTATACTTGGAGAGACTTAGCTGTTTCCAGCCAAGAGCACTCATGGCTTAATGGCGTGGGTTAATGTGATAAATGAATTTTTCTTTCATGGGGTCATCTTAGGTATCATTGTTTTAGGACATTGCTGAAAGCATGCTAGCTGTTTCTTTCTGCATATAACATCCCCAAGAGTTATATGGATATCAGGACATCCCAGGTACCAGGCACTCAGCAGCAGACAGGCTCGCTGGCCACAGAAAGCAGTGCCCACACTTCCCAGCTCAACACGCATAGTCACCCTCTCTGGAAGTACTTTTCTAACACTTCGGAAAGTACAAGGGGTATTGTCTGAGATGACAGTGGATAAATTTAAAGTTCTGCATCAACTTGAAATATGCCATTTTCATTTGTTCANGGCCACAGAAAGCAGTGCCCACACTTCCCAACTCAACACGCATAGTCACCCTCTCTGGAAGTACTTTTCTAACACTTCGGAAAGTACAAGGGGTATTGTCTGAGATGACAGTGGATAAATTTAAAGTTCTGCATCAACTTGAAATATGCCATTTTCATTTGTTCAAAATGGTCAATCTTTAATACTGCTTAGGCAATTTCAGTATTAATAGAGAATAAGTACATATGTTCAAAGAAGCTTAATACTACAGACAGATTCACTATCATTGAAATAAAAATGTAGATCCCTCAGTGTAAGATGAACCCCCCAAAGATATAGGTACTTACATTTATAAGAAATAAACCTGAAAATACCAATATGCAAACTGTTCTGTTGAAAGAACAAGATGGAGATCATGAGTGCCACATGCATTCCCTATTCCAAAACATGCATTCAATGTGATTGAATCACCCCCACACAGTTACACTGAGTATCAACATTAATGATCAAGTGCCACCTGCATCGGCCAAGAAAAACTCACGTACAATGACAAAAGAGCATAAGTGTGCATCAGCCACCCGTAGGCTTCCTAATTCATCTGCTCTCCAACTGGCTCTGTTCATCAGGTCCTCAAACCTCCCCCCTCCCTCGCCCCCCACCCCTCACAACCCCCCTCACCCACTTCCCCACCCCCCACCCCCGCTCCCATACCTCTTCCCATCCTCTCTGCTGGTAGCCTGGCTTTTACACAAGGGGAAATCAAGAAAAGCAACAGAGTGCAAAGCTGGAAGGCAGAGGATATCTGATCCGGAGGCAGCATATCAGAGAAAGCAAAGACCTGGTTCCTCCTACCTCAAAAGCACGCAGCCTAGGGGAGGAGGAGACAGGAGCACCCTGGCACACAAACAGAGAGGAGTCGGTGGGAAATGCTCATCACGTTTGCTCTACTGTGATTGTGCTCAACAAACATCAATTAAATGCATGACCTGTTGTGAGCACTGAGAATAAAAACAAATATGAGATAGGATCTCTGCCTTGGAGAAGTTTGTGTTCTGTTTTTGCAGCCACACCAGAAACACACACGGAATTAAGTAGCAAGAGAAATTAGGATATGATTGAGTACCAAGAGAGATGTTAGGACAAGTGCCACAGAATTCGAAAGAGGCCAAGGAAAGGTGTCTTTTAAAATAAGGTACTAGACCTAGACCTAGAAAAATGGAAACTCTAGCTAGGGGCATGGGAAGCGAGCAAGGGCAGCCCCACAGAGCACGGCGCTGGTGAAGGTGCGGCAGCAGGGTTGGGAACGTTCTGCTGGAAGACGAGGAGTAGTTCAGTGCAGCTAAAATGCCCCGTGGAAGAGTTGAGACTTCTTATGAATTCATTGAATGAAAATGATAAGAGTAACGGCCAAGAACAGGAGGGACTGTGGCAGAGTGGGATGTGAGAGAGAAAGGCCCATGAGAAGCCACTGAAGGTATCAGGCAATGAGGCCCTAAGAGACAGAAAACAAGGGAGCCCCTGTGGGAAGGGGCCTCAGGGGAACCGAGCAGTACTGAAGAAGGAGTCCCACAGAGGACTTCTCCACAGAGGAGCTGTGTGTCAGTACGCCTGCCTCCCCTTTCTGGAGCCTCCGTGTTCTTGTCAGCAAATTAAGACAAGGGGACCAGATGGCCACCACCCCCAGTTCGGGCTCTGGGGTCCTCAGAGCCTGTGATCTTGAGCCACAGTCCCATTAACAACACTTAAGTTACAATGGAATATTCGTCATAAAAAAGGATGAAATCCTGCCATTTGCGACAACATGCATGGACCTGGAGGGCATTATGCCAGGTGAAATAAATCAGGTGGAGAAAGACAAATACCATATGATTTCACTTACATGTGGAACCTAAAAAACAAACAAATGAACAATTAAACAAACAACCCAGAAGCAGACTCATAAATGCAGAGAATAAACTGCTGGCTGCTAGAGGGAGGCAGATAGGGGAATAGGTAAACAGCTGACGGAGATCAAAAAGTACAAGCTTCCAGTTAAAACATAAGTAAGTCATAGGGATAAAAGATTCAGCATGGGGAATGTAGTCAATTACGGTAAGTTAATATGGTGACAGATGGCAACTACACTTACATGGTGAGCATTTTGTAATATATATAAATGTTGAATCACTATGGTGTACACCTGAATCTATTACAATATAATATAAACTATACTCCAGTTTCAAAGAAATATACACAGCCAAGATAAGCAGGAAAGCCAGTGGGGAAGGATGGCAGGTTTGTCTGTGGACAAGGTGATAGTAAGCATGTAAACAGCATGCTATCCCTTTAGAAGTGACAGATGAGCAGATAGCAATATGAAACTCAGGAATAATCAATGAATTATTTCCATACTCCATGATTTTTTGTGTCATAGACCATGGGCGATGGGGAATTCACCATGGATGTTTCTTAGACCAAAAAACTTAAGGATATATATTTTTCATTCGCCTTCACCAACCACTCTTCAGTGCTGCTCAGCAGTTAACTTTTTATCAATTGCCTTTAAGGGCAGAATTAAAATCAGTTTCTATAGTCAGAACCCTAAATGATAAGTTTTTTTCTCAGAGCCCCAGCAATAAGTTATCAATAGAGACATTGTTAAAATCTTTTGGGTTAGTCTTTACCGCACCTGAAAATTTTTCAGTTTCCTGAAAGCAGTCATCAGGAATAAGGATATTATGCATAAAATGATCATGTTTGACACTTTAACATGGATTTTAACACAGTAACACATCTGTCTGCAATATATTTAAGTATCAACCAAACAGGCTTTATCTCTTCCAATAATGTCCAAATGGAATTGGACATAGATAAGTGGAAAGAGCAAATAGGACTGTAAACATTGGATCCCATCTCTCCATCAATACAGAAATCACTGAAGCTCATATTTGTTTTGGTTACACAGCAGTTAGGAATATAAAGTAACATTAATAAGGAAGGATTACAGAACACATAATTTTCATTTCCTTTACCACTTTATCGTGGCCAGGTTAGAAAACCTGGGAATTAGGTTAGTCTGCCTGAATGTGTGTTTGGTGCTGTAAAGACAGGAATCTCAAAGACCACTGAACTGCAGATTTTCTAACCAATGAATCACGGAGAGAAACTGAGGAAGCCAAACTGATAGCAGACCTGGAAAAGGCTTGGCTGTGCCCTGAATTTAGGCAATGCCTGCTCAAGTATTTGTCGGTTGTTTGTCCCAAAATGAATAGGGCTTTGGAGCAGAAGAGACTCACTTCTATTTCTGGCTGCCACAGGAAATTCCCATGTGGAATTCCTGTGTGGCGGGTATGCTTTAAGGAAAAATGGTGCCTCCCTGTGAGTCACCTGCTCACTGGCAAAACTAAGCCAAACGGAAAACTTCAGAAACCAGATGGAGACCAGCTACCCTGAAGGTCGATGACTGACTGATGAATATGCTTCAGGCCAAGTAGGAGTGAGATGGAGGAAACAACACAGGGAGAAGGGGGGCTTATCTGCCACAGGTAAAGAAGGTGGGTACACGGTGGGACCTAATGGCCTACTGATAAGAACCAGAGTTAAATAGGAACATTCTTCTCCAACTAGGAACCAGGAATTTACAGGGATGGATACAACTTCAGGGAGGACTGGAGAAGATTCTGAGATTCTAAGATTGGGATGGAATGTAATCTATACTACAATCTGTGCAGCTGAAGTTGCACTAAATAACATTCTGCAGGGTGTCTGATATCAGCTGCGTGAGGGATTAGGATCTCACTGCAAAAATGCTCCAACGTGTTTTCCTGACTTCTGAAAATGACTAGAAGAATAGATTTTCCATGTGAAACCAAAATTATAAGACTTGTTGAATTCCTGGGCATTTGACACTTTTTGTCCTACTGAGGTTCTCAGGTTTGTGTGTGTGTATGTGTATGTAAAAGAGAGAGAGAGACAGAGACAGAGACAGAGAAACAGAGAGACATAGAGAGGGGAGAAAGGGGAGGCCCCAGTGGCCTGCCTCTACCCAGACATGCTATCACTATTCCATGACTGGGTAAAATCTAGTTCACTGTAGGAATGACTTTTCAGATTTCTTTTCCTTTTGATGTTGAGATAGCTTTAATTATAATTGCAAATGTGAAAATTTCAACTAGTTTTCCAGAAAAAAACATAATAGAGATGCAGAGAAAATAGTTTTCAGTGACTGGTAAACAAGCTTTTCTTCTGTGTTGCAGTTTGGAAATGTAAACTGGTGGGGCAGGGCTGAATTTGGGTTAATGATCAGCCAATGCCCTAGTTAAAATGCTGGAGACCTGCTGGTTTAAAAAAAAAATAGCAAACTCAGAAGAAAAGCCCATGTGATGTCAGAGGGAGAATTGTCATTTCTTTTTCATCTGGATGTTTGAGCTCCTTGTAAGTATCCTGCAAAGTAATCTTCAAAATTCTTAAAATAATTTTAAAGCCTATTTTGGCACACTTTGCCAACTATCATGGAATGAGTCACCCTTTACACCGAACCTCTTATCTCTGGTGAATGTTCTCCACTGTGGAAAATCTATAGTGTCTCAGTTTAAATAGCTTACTCTGCAAGGATCCTTAAGGAACACAATCATACAAAATATACATGAAATCATAGTAGAAAGCTCATTGCCATGCTCCAGAATTTTGGGAATTAAATTTTAAATTGAGCTATATTGAAGTTAACCCACACAAATATCAGTTTAAAGCTAAGCAAGTTCTGTATTCAGTGAAGTTTTTTCAACATGCCCAACCGAAACCAGGACAGCCGATGCAGGCTAGTGAACAGATGCTCTGCAGTTGAGCATTAGCTGGTATCCTGGTTCCCACTCCTACAGCTGTAAATTTGGGAAAAACAATTTTCTTGGATTTTCAGATTCCCCATTTGCAAACTGGGGTTAATAATGCTTATCTTGCAGAATTTTGTGAGGCTACAAAGACACCCAGGGAAGAATAGCCAACATCATTGGTGGGATGACAGGCAGTAAACAACGAGTGTCATAAATTCTCTTTTGAAAAGCAAGCCCATTCCACGTTCAGCTTTGAAGTTCAGTGTTACCTCTGAGAAAAGAAGGTCATAGGCCTGCCTTTACTGATAATATGCATGCAGAGTTTATTTAGATCTCCTTTAACATGAAGAGAAATGTTTCTTAGTCTATTCAGTGTATTAATTTAATGTTCCTAATGTTTGGCACAACCGCTTTCTTAAAAACCATAATATGGTAAGTATATCAACTGTTCCACTTAGTCATTTGTTTAACTTGCTTACATTCCATTTACTTTGAGGATTGTTACATTATCACTTTTGGAACTTAGGGGATGTCAGGGCCTCTAACCTTTCATATTGAAAAATTAGTATCAAAAGGCCATCTGCAGTTGATGAGCTTTCCAATGCTAACAATTTTATTCTGAAATTAGGCCTCAGAAGTCTCTAGAAACAGAGGAGCCTCTTTACTGGCCAGGCCAGGACACAGCCTAGTAGCTGCTATTCGGAGCCAACATCAACATGAGTCATTGCCACTGGGTATGTATCATGCTTTTTGAACCCAGGGGACTCCATGCTTTGCCTTGCTTTTCTGATCACAAATTCTTAATAGTCAGGAGTCTGCACTTTTGTTTCCCTCTTTGAGGATATAGTCTACTCCCTACCCTTTGTTCCCACCCCACTTTGCCCTTTGCCCTTTCCCCTCCTTCCTCACTCTGTCTTTCTCTCTTCCCTCCCCTCTCTCTCCTCCAGTCTCTTCCAGACCCCCACTCTCCTTTTTTCCATTCAGTGATTTTTTAGCTGAGTTGAGGAAAGCATAATTTAAAGAAGGTGCTAGATGTTGTTGCAGCTCAATGCACATTTTAATGTCCTCTCTTCCAATGTGTGCATGGGGATAAGTAAGCACAGAACTTCATTCCTGACCTCAGCTGCCTCTTTCCCAAACATATGCCATTCAGATCAAGGAAAATGGGGTGAGCGAGTCTAAATGGATTTGGATATTTCCATTGTCACTACTGGGAAAACAACTCACAGCCACAGGTCGTAGGTGTCAAGTTCTCAGAAAATGATTTATTTGAGCTTATAAAGAGTTTTTTCTCATAATAACTGGCAAAATGACCAAAGAAAGCAGGGAGAGAGTAGGACTTCTGCCATAGGACACCTATCTTATTTTCCTCACCTGCTCACATAGGGATGCGTTAAAACCAGTTAAGTTCCTGGAGTATTAAGGATAATTAACTTAGATCTGGTTTGCTTTTGGTTTAAGCATTTAAAAGTAATAATGCTATTAAGTCCCAGAACAAAACCCTCAAGAGTTTACATTTTTTGATGCATATGCTACCTTCCCTTCAAATTCTGACATTAATCCCAGTATCAAGCAGCCATTTTCCAGTAATTTCACTGGAGAAATTACCTCGGGGCTGAAGATTCAACCACGACCTGCACTTTTGTCTGTTTCAGCATATAATGACAAGATTGTGGCCTTTCTTCGCCAGCCAAACATTTTTGAAATGTTGCAAGAGCGTCAGCCCAGCTTGGCAAGAAACCACGCACTCAGGTAGGGGCTTGTCCCTCACCCTAAACTCCAGGTCTCTCCAGCTGGTTTTCCAAATGAAATGTTTCCAAATGTTTTAGTCATTCATTTAAGTTACATTTGGATACTCAGAATGAAGGAGCCAGAGGCTTCTAATGTTCTTTGCAGTGTCACGATCAGAGATAATCATATTGTCAAGTTACATATTATTCACGTGATGCTAAAATGATTTCCACTGAGCTGGAGGGGAGCACTGAAAGGAAGCAAATTAGCTTTCATCAAAAAAAAAATCATGTAAAGCACCATACAAATTATTTTTATTTTTGAAATATAATCATTTAATGGTAACCAGATATTAGATCACCATATTAAAAAATAAGCAAGCAAACAAGAAGTATCATATGTGTTCTAACTATTTAAATCCTGTTGACTGTTAGGATCATTTTTAAGCAACCATCTCTAAAACTCTGAATCACTTATTGGCAGGAATAGCCACCCAAAGTGATAAAAAGGGAAAATATGCTCTGAACTTAAATTCCACTTTCTCACCAAGATATTCAGACATCTCTCTCCCTCAGTTCACTACCCGCATCTCAGAAGCTGGATCCGCATGGTGGTTAGGTGTGTCCCTTGGAGCTCGGGAACGATGGTCCCAGCACTTAAGGACCCTGATTGAAGCATGTTATTCAGTCTTTACCCTTATCTCCTCATCACTGAAACAGGGTCCGTGTGTGGGCACTATTGAGACGCTTACATGGGTGTGCATGTGAAGATCAGACAAGGGGGGCCAGAGTGCAGTCAGTGGCTGCCTCCAACTCCTCTCCCACTTGGTAGTCTTTGGAATCTGCTGAACTCTGTAATATTCTACTTTGACTTCTTCAGTGAGTCACCCATACCTGAAAGTAGCCTCTTTGTTATTCAAATCCTTAGTTTTTTGAGGTAGGTCCTATTTCATTTTATTAAATTATATTTGGCATGCAGTATTATATTAGTTTCAGGGTGCTTACTAATCCTGCCAGGGTCTTTCTCTCTTCTTCCCCTCCACCTCCCATCCTGACACCTTTTCCCTATTCTCCCTCTGTGTGTATCAGACCCATCATCCTCCCACTGCCCGTCATCTCAACTCCACCCCTTCCTCACCTCCGCACCACCCCATTCACCTCCTCATTTCTCTCTCCAACCTTCTCTTCTCTTCCCTGCCATGACTGTGTGTAGGCCCTCATCACTTCTCTCCTTGACTTTCCAGGGGTGTCTATCGACCTATCAACACCACAATTACCTGCTTATAGCACAGGAAATCATGTCGCTCCAGTCCTTCAAAAAGCATCCCACTGCATATGAAATAAAAATCAAGTCAAGCTCTCTAAGTATGATTTCCATAGTTCCCAAAGTCTGGTCTACCCTAACTTTCCCTCCTGTGCTAGTTTTTCCTTCTGGTGTCTTTCACCCCCACCGAACAGGCTATGTCCTCTCCTACCTCTGGCCTTCCTGGAATGGCTTCTCTCTTAAAGGCATTCAACCTGTTTTAAAGGCTCAAGTCAAATGCAAAGATTCGGTGATCCAGGCAGACTTTAATATTTCTTTTGCCTGGCTTTAATGGTATTCTTTTCTGTACCTCTTAGATATTCTCCATTACCTCTTGCATTCTGTCATGCACTGATGTCTCCCCACAAGGCTATAAGCTCTTTAGGGCAGGACCTATATCTTCTTTTTCTTGGTACTGCTCTCCCCCTCTGAACCTGATCCTCTACTTTAAAGACAGGAAATACTAGGTACTTTGAGAGTGAATGAAAGGTCTTGAGCATGAATAGATGAGCTTTTCACAAGTAACTGCCACTTCCACTTACTCTGATTCTGCCCAAGTTCAGTACTGGGCCGTGAATGCAGCACTGTGCTCAGTCACTAGGCCACTTATTTGTGGGCTGCTCTTTGGCCCACAGTACTTAATAATTTAAGGGCATTGCCAAGGGATTATCCGAGGAGCTTGTACTACTTGAAAAGTTTCTTATCCATTGCTGCTTTTGAACATTTTTTATGTCACTGATCCTACCACTAAGAAAAGAGTGAACTACCTACTTTTGGTGGAATATGAACTTACAAAAAGCACTGGGGTCCTAATTTAAATCATTTCAAAACTAAGAAAAGTAATCCTCTGTGTAAACAAGTGGAATATATATCCAAAGGTAAGTAAACAGTTTTCAGCGCTATTGTGTAGTATCACATTATATCAAAATCCAAGAAATCTTAAAGGTTTTGTTGCAATGTAGAATTGTACGATTATGATTTCCCAGATCTAGATTTTTTTCTAGATTGTAGATTTGAAATTATGGCATGTTGGAACTGGAAGAACCTTGGAAATTATCTACTGTAGAATCAAATAACCTTTTTAAGTTTATGGACTCCTTCAAGAATCTGATAAAAGCTATTGTAGACTTCCCCCCAAATATAAACATAAATCTTTGCATATAATTTCAAACGAGTGGTTCCTAATAGACCTATGGACCCCAGGTTGAGAACTCAAATATTGCTTGAAAGACAGAAGGCTACACTGACATCAAAACGTGACTAAGAGCCCTTTGAATTCCAAAGGCAGAATGACAGGCCAGAGCTTGCTCTTCAGGTCAGGCCTACAGGACCGGGAATCTGGGCACTCGTCTCCCTGATGGGGCTTCTGCCTGCCCCTGGATGTGGTGTGAGGGTGAGTCAGCCCCATTTAAAAGGTCCAAGAGTTGAAAAGAAGCCACCTCTCCCTATGACCCTGCCCAGAGGAGGACCACACTGCCTCCTCTGGCCCCTAATGGGGACCAAGACCCCTGATCAGCCATTGCTGTTCTCAGCGAGCCACTGTCTTGGGTCCACAAAGCCCATTGCTGGGTTAGAGGGCGGAGGGTGAGTGCTCAGAAAACTGGGTTCAGCAGACAGCAGTGAATCATAAGGAAGCCACACACGGAGAGGGAAGATGGGGCCAGAAAATTTAGAGGCTAATGACATCTGTTAACTTCAAGGGTCATGATGGCAGTGTTCATTCATTCATTCTTCCCTTCAGCTAGTGCTGCTACTGTGCACATTTGCATCAAGGTTGTGCCAGGGCTGTGTATGCAGCAGCAGAGCAAAACAGATGTTGGCCCTGCCCTCGTGGTGTTTACCAATCTTTGGAGGAAGACAGATGATAGACAAATTTGGTGTTTTTTAAGCCAAACATATAGCTACAGAATGTGTTAGGGCCATGAGGGACATGATCAGGATTCTGTGATAGTGATAGAAATAATGTCAAGGATTTCATTTGGACCCTGAGTTTTGAGGTCTTTGTGTGGCTACGAATGGAGAAATCAAGATGTCAGGGAGGCAGGTGACTCTACTGACCTGAGCTCCAAGGAGAGTTTTGCACCAGACTTTGCCTGATGGGCAAGGGACACATGTAGGAGTAGCAGATGGCATTTTCCCTCAGAGATCTTCCCCTGTTGTCAGTGCTGTTGAGATAGAGTTCCAGGGGCATCTGGAGGCCCCTCTGACTGCTGGGTTAGCATGAGGTTTTCATACACGTATGATGTCTCATGAAGAGCCAGCAAAACTCTCAGAAAACTCTGCTTGGCTCTAGGACATGTGGACGTGGCCCCTGTGGGTGGTGTGATGATGGAACCACTCCAGTGGGTACCATTTTCTGTGACTGGCAGGGCACTTTGCTGCCCTAGCAGAGCTGGGCCTCTTTGAACTTCATTTTCCCAAGGACCCTGGAACAAAAGGTGATCCCTAGAATGTTCTCTCCCTTTTTCATCCAGGCAGAGACAACAGGGACTTACCCAGATGTGAGTCCCCTGGGGCAGTAGTGTCCCAGGGACATTGTCATTGGGAAGCTGTATAAGTTTAAGACGTCTTCCTGGGGCTCAAGTTGGTAAACCAGAGGAACAAGTCCATGCGAGTCTTCCAAACAAGAGGGCTGTGAGGTAGTATCAGGATTTATAGGACAAAGCTCGGCACCATGGAGTCAAGGACATAGGGACACGCAGGGAGAAGCAAGTGGTGGAGGAGGCATGGTACTCGCACTCCTGGCCAGCTTCCACCTGCTCCCTGCAAAATAATATGTGGCCAGGTCTGTTCCATTTTCCAAAACCCTGGCAGAGAAGCCACTATGAACATCCCTCCAGATTTTGTAATAGCCTTTACTGCAGTGGTATTCTACCTATACTGAGAGATTGAAGTCTAACTGCACCGAGAGACTGGACTCTACCTACATTGAGAGATAGGGTCATAGAACATTTCTTTTTTTAATTGTACTTGATGTATCTTTGTAGAAGCCAGAAAGTTTCCTTTGTCTTTGTAAACAATACCCACACCAAAAGGTCAAGTTCAATGTATTTTTTACAGAAAGTATGCAAGTTATCATGAAGACTGGGGCTCACCATATTACTGTCAGAGAGAGGAAAAACTTGTGTCTGCAGTATTTTTATAAATAGAATTTTTAAAAGTCATCCATTGGAGGAAACTAAGTAAAGAGTATACTGGATTGCTGTACTAATTTCTTACAACTAAATATGACTAAATTATCTCAAAACAAAAATTTAAACAAAAAAATAAAGAAGTTAAAAATCTTTAAAAATTAATCCTCAATTTCTCCCAGATTTCTGTTGCATCTCTTCAAAAAAGTGAAAAAATATTTAACTTTAACTTCTTTGAAGCATGCCTACTATGGAATGATCCTTGAGCATGGCGTTTGTAATATGTGAATATTTTAATGTCAGAGAAGCAAATTGCAAAGTTCATTTGATCAAAATAAAGTCTATTTACCCATAGACTTATTGGAATAATTTGCCAGGCTGGAGTTGGAGGTTATGAAAAAGAGTCAGAATGTGTAAGTTCAAATTAAACAGAGAGAAACTGATGCTTGTGCTCAGACTGACCAGGAAGACTCATGTGTGGACCTCAGACCCTCTCTGAACCCCGTGTGGTTTCCATCCTAAGGCGCCAAGAGCCCACAGAGTTCATCAGCATCATCTCCAGCTCCACTCCTGACTGTGGGAGTAGCTATCCGAGGATCTACCTTTGCCGTGTTCTTCAGCCTCTGTCCTGTGTGAGCCCAGAGAAAGGCAATCCCTATAGTGCAGCCTGGGGACTTGCAATACCAACTTAAAATTCTGTGAAATGCGCTGGACCTAAGAACATGGTCATTGAACCATATTGGAGGAGAGAGAAAAAAAGGGACCAGAAAGGGATATTCCTTAGCTTACGTGTTGGTGTGTAATTCTTGTTTTCTTTCCCACATTGTTGTAGGGAGAAAATCCATTACATTCGGACTGAGGGTAATCACGGGCTTGAGAAGTTGTCCTGTGATGCAGATCTCGTCATTTTGCTGAGGTAAGGGGCTAAGCCTGGGGCAGTCCTGGGAAAGCTGCTCTGGGCAGTTCTCCTCCACTACAGCCCAGACAGAAACACGGCCATTTATTCTAGAGGATTCCAGTGGCTGCAGGGAAGTGGAGTCCCATCCTTTTATCTGCTATCCATCGCCTTCTTTACATTTACAACTGCAGAATCAGGAGCTACATATAGTACTTGATGGACATTTGCTGTAGGATTAATTAGGCTTAAAATAACACAGAATTTGCTGAGATGCACCTAAGTGAATCTAAATGCTTCTGTTGCCTTATGAAAACTGGAACCACTGTTACCCCAATTCATGGGCATTCTCTCATGGACAGAAGACTAACCATTTTTTTTTTTTAACTTTGCAGTCTCTTTGAAGAAGAGATTATGTCCTACGTCCCCCTGCAGGCTGCCTTCCACCCTGGGTACAGCTTCTCCCCCCGCTGCTCACCCTGTTCCTCACCTCAGAACTCCCCAGGTAATTAGCATCTTGTGTTCTTTCTCCCATAAGTAGCCAGCTGTGTTCCCACCAGACCAAGGTAGGAGGCGCAAGGAGGGCAATTGTATGTATGTCCTCCTTCCCTGCCTCCCTCTCAGTTTTTATTGGGTGTTGACAAATTGCTGCCTGTTTTCGCAGTGCCCCCAAGCTAAATGACTTGAAAAGCTTGGTTACAAAAACAGTATTGTCATTACATGTGAAAATTTTATGAAATTTAAATTTCAGTTTCTATAGCTTTGACTATGGGTCCTTGGTTATGTAATCCAAACATTTTGCTGTTAAATTTTGTAATTCCCATTTTTCTAAACCTTTGTGAAATTGACCTGGGTGCTACAGAGATAGTGAATCATAGACATTTATGTCAAATTACTTTGAAAAGCTTAATTAAGAGGCAAATGCATAGTAGTGACCATTGGAATAGTGGTGTTCCAGCAGTAGTAAAAGTCATATTACAAAATATACTGTACTCTGTGGGGCAGAAGATTATACTTGCACCTACAGACTTGTAGTCCAATTCTCCCTATATCCTGAAACCTGGCATTCCACCCAAGACACTTTACCCTCCAAGTGACGGCTCTTGGTTCCCTCACATGTCAGGTGCTGCAGGGCCCAGGGGTGGGGCTAATGCCCTCTGTGCTTCCGTGCTTACACCCCTCAGCTGTCTCCCCTCCTAGATGCTGTCATTTGCCAACCTTTTTCTCATGCTCAAAGACTGTGGCTCCTGTTTCATACTCTCCCTCTCCTTCCCAAGTCCTCCCATCATCCAGGTGACTTCAGCATTCGCAAGGATACCCATCCAGTTCCCTGGCCTCCAGTTTCTGGGCTCCCTGGTCTGCAATGACCTTCCCCTCCTCCACCTCAACCACCTCATGCCACAGTCACCTTCCTGCCCTTGCTGTCATCTCTAAAATCCCTGACTCACGCATCCTGCTCCCACCCAACATGTTTATTCACCTTCTCCCTCCCTTTGATATCCATTGCCCTCAATGGGGACCTCCAGCCCATGGATGCCTCTCCTTTCCTGCTTTTCCCTGATCCAGCATAGATTTTGTGGCTCATCATGTCAGGGACATCCTTGCCAATGCCCTAAACTCCCCTGATCCTCTCCACTCCATCTGCAGAACTCCACCCCTAGGTAAACTTCCTGTCTGCTTCTTCTACATCTATAAGCAGGCATCCTTGGGCAAACTCACCCGACAGGCAGATCGCTAAGTATAGATTAGTCTTCGCTCACTTCACTTGGACCTTGAACACCCAGAAGGAAATTCTACATTTCTTTGGGAGACTTACTCTCTGTGCTAAAATTTCAGACGTTTTCACCCCCCTCAAACTTCTAACACCTTGTGTCTCTCCTCGCAAATGATGTCCCTTCTTTCTTCACTGAGAAAGGTGAAGTCGTTAGGCAGAAACATTGTCAAACGCCACTATCGATCCCACAAGCTTTCCAAGCCTGCTCCCACTCGCTCCCCGTTCATGCCTGTGCTTCAGAGGAGGTGTCTTTGCCCAGGTCAGCACGACCTCTGGGCCCCCAGGCCAGTGGGAGGTTCCCAGCCTTCCTCCTGATCTTCCAGTTAGCTTTAACGTTACTGACTGCTATCTCCCTTAAGTCACCTCTTCAGTTAGCTTCTGGAACACCACTGTCCCCATTTCACCTACCTCTTCAACCACCTGTACAATCTCATTCTGCATTTCCTACCATCCTCAGGACTCAGTCCTGGTTTTTTTCTCTCCTCTCTCAAACTGTGTCTCTTTCCAATCAAACATGCAAAAGCAGCGCCATCAAAGAGCAAGCTCATGATCTCCCCCACAATTTTTTCTCCCATTGTTCCCCATTGCAGTGAAAGCCCCCACAGTCCACTCAATACAAAAATCTGAAACTCACCTTTGCCTCACCACCTATATCCAGTTTATTGCCTCCTAAACACATCTCCAGTCTATCCACTTCTCATCTCCACTGACACCACTCGAGTCCAACGCAGGCTTTCTAAATCCACTCTGGTCCTCTCCAGATTTCTCACTCTACTGAAGAAAGGCGGATGTTATCATAACTCAAGTCACATCTTGTCAGCCCCCATGCAGTGCATGCCTATTGTGCTTAGCATTAAACCAAAGTGCTTCACAGAACGTACCTAGCCTGTCTGGCCTGTCTGCTGCCCACCTCGCGGGCACTGCTTTGCATACCTCTGCCTCACACCCTCGGCGTGCCGCCTCCCATTCTGCTGCAGTGCCCGGGCTCGGCTGGTCCCCTGCCTGCACTGCTCTCCCTGCGCATCTCTTCTCTTAGTCGAACAGAAGCCTTTCCTGATTCACTGAACCTGATTCATGCCTACGGAGTTTTCAGATATTCCCCAGGGAAACCTTCCATGGGTAGCGATCATCTCAACTCGTAATTGCAGTATGTCTTCATTTTTGTGAGTTTGCTGGTATCAGTCTTCTTTAGATTAAAAACTTACTAACTTGGGATATAGTGACTAATAAACAGTTACTGAAAGGGCAAAGCGTGATTCTAGTCATCTGTAAAACTTGGAGAAGAATGCTATTTTTTCCATTAAAATGTGTATAATGACAAGAAAGCATTTACAAAGCACCTGATATAAAAAACTCTCTTCTACATAGAGTCAAGGAATTATTATCATCATTTTTATCATTTTTATTATAGGTCTTTATTTTTTGAAGCAAGGTAATCTAATATAAACTCCTAACCCCCTAGGCCCCAGCGGGCAGGCACGCCTATTTTAGCATCAATGTCAATATAGTTCTACAAGTACAACACACATCACAGTTACAGTCACTTCTCACAGCAACTTAACAAGAAAAATTTAGTCTATCTTGAATTACGTTTTTAGATTATATAAGTATGATTAAGCCAAGATATATGCTCACTAAGGTATTTTTAAGAGAGATTCAGCTTGAAATGGAGTTGAAGACATAGATATTTATTATCATCAGAATTCATTTTTCTCTTTATTGTATTATTTCTTTTTATATAAAAGTAACTGAGGGAGCAACAGAAATCAAGGGAAACTTCTTGGAGGAGAAAAACATGAAGACACCTGAATGTGCCTCTGGCTGGCCCTTCCTGTATCATTGCTGTGCATGTTTGTTCTTTGATAAAAAGGGATGCCTTTCCGCCTGTGTGCTTCTCTCTGCAGGCCTACAGAGAGCCAGTGCCAGGGCCCCTTCACCCTACCGGAGAGACTTTGAAGCCAAGCTCCGCAATTTCTACCGAAAACTGGAAGCCAAAGGATTTGGTCAGGGCCCAGGGAAAATTAAGTGAGTGTCCCAGTAAAGCGAGAAAGGGGAAAACATTAGGAAGTTGAAAAGAAAGAAGAGGGGATGTTAAAGGAGGTGTGAAGGGCAGGAGAGAGAGAAAGTAGATTTGGACAAAGACATACAAGATCAGTAGCAGACCTTTTCAGTAAACAAGGAATCTTAAACTAAATGAAAAATTATAATTCCCTTTACTTATTCTTGGGACAAATTTAACTCATCGGTCAAATTTATTGTAACTTTGTTACTGGGGTCTAAGTAAAAAGTTGTGGAATATTTTCTCTTTCTTTTTCTTTAGCTTCTGGGTTTATTATTTTCATCTTTAAAAAATGAACCCAACTCAGGAATCCAACCTAAGAAATTCTTTTTGGAATTGATCAAAAGGAATTCTACACGTTATCTGATATGATGGAATATATCCAATTATTACTTTCATCTTTAAAAAATGAACCCAACTCAGGAATCCAACCTAAGAGATTCTTTTTGGAATTGATCAAAAGGAATTCTACACGTTGTCCGATATGATGGAATATATCCAATTATAAAAGAGTACATATTCTGCATGCACTCCTAGTACCTGAAAACAGTGTTAAAATAAGTCCATCGCTGAACTGATGGCATCTGCTCTCACTGGCAGGGTGGGCGTGGGACCACGGCCTGAGCACTAGCTCTCAACAGAACTCTCTAGCAGGGTAGGCACACTCTCTAACATTGACACTTCAAGCTGTCGCTCACTGCCTGCACGGCCTCTTCTCCCCACCAGGCTCATCATTCGCCGGGACCACTTGCTGGAGGGAACCTTCAATCAGGTGATGGCCTATTCCCGGAAGGAGCTCCAGCGAAACAAGCTCTACATCACCTTTGTTGGAGAGGAGGGGTGAGGCGCCAGCAGTTGTCTGCAGACATGTCACTGTCAGTGGCCTGGAGCCCCTGGATCTTGAGAGATTTCTCTCAAGAAGGACCAGGGTGCCTCTAAACCTTTGCCCTAAATTGATTCTGATTATGTCCTCCTAGGAGGTCTTTCTCTCTCCAGGTATTGCCAAGCTTCAGGTCTCATGTTCTTCAAAAGCCTAAGACTACTGGTGCATGCTAGAGTCTGAGGCTACGTGGTCAAAGTATAAGCCAAAAAACACATGTGTAAGCTACTTTTGCATGTGGCATACACTTCGGAGTATGTAGCCAAAGAACTCTTCCTCCTAGACTGTGCATATGCAGCTACATACCAAACTTTTCATACAAGGTCAATGATTTCCTAGAAAGCCACCTCTACCACGGAGGGTAAGTCCACCTAGAAGGTCATATCACACTGTCGCAAGAAATTCCCTTGCACTTCCCTCAACAACGTTCTTGCTTTTAATCAGTCAGCTGTGTGTTTTATCCAGGAAGTGTTATATGATTGAAGAAAGATTAAGGAACACTGCCATGAGAGTTCATCCATGGACATCTAGTAAGAAACATCCCCAAACCATTACTGTATCTTTATATTCTACAGCATATTGTAATTATAATCCACTATCAAGAGCAGTGCCTGCTCTCTGAACAACCAAACTAGTACCCGGACAGAAAAACGTCCCCCACCTCCCGCATGTAATGAGCTTCCCGGGCCTCTGCTTCCTTTGCAGCCTGGACTACAGTGGTCCTTCGAGAGAGTTCTTCTTCCTTTTGTCTCAGGAGCTCTTCAACCCTTACTATGGACTCTTTGAGTACTCCGCAAACGACACCTACACAGTGCAGATCAGCCCCATGTCTGCCTTTGTGGAAAACCATCTTGAATGGTAAGATCTGATCTGGAATTTTCACTTTCTTATATTTGGAAGTTCTGGTCTTCTTAGTCAAAACTCAGCAGTTTTTCTTGAGGGTCACCATGCTTAGATCAGTGCTCCAGATATTATGAGACATAATGAGAGTGAGTAATGAAGCCCAGAATATTCCCTATTAGTCTTCATGCAGAATACAAAATAAATGACGAAAGATACTGCAAACTTACTATCAACTGCAAATTGATTTAAAATATAGTAATTGCCTTCTGAGGAGACACTAAGGTAAGTAGACATAGAGGTCTTAGATGTTGATAATTCTACTGAAATCGTAAGAGTCCCCAGTGGAGGTTTCTTGGAAGTATTCATAGGTTTGAAATTCTTTGACCTTGGGTCAATGGCTTTAGCACGGTGGACATCAGCTTCTTCTTCTTACTGTAAAATAAGGCTGTCAGGTCAGATGATCTCTAAGCATCCTTTTAACTTGAAAATTCAGTATCTCTTTGGTTCTATCCCTTTGAGGCATCTATTACCACTTACTGATATGTGTCAGAAGATAAGTGTCAGTCAATTCTGTGCAGTTCTGTGGGAGACATACCTCAGGTGTGTATTTTAGAAGTCTCCAGAAAGCTGCATGGGACACCTAGGATCCATGCACTTTCTTGCAGTGTCACCACCACACCTGACTTGAAAACCATCCCTGGTCTCAGGAGCTCCTGCTGTCAAGAGGGAAATGAGCCCTGGAAACTGCTAATGTGGATTCTCATCTGACTTTGCTTATTTAGGGTGTGTGCAAAGACTGCTGGGGAAGGAGCTTCTGGGGTAATAGCTGGGCCTGCCGGGCATACAGCCCAGACCCCCGCATAAGAATACCCTGCCCCTGCCAGGGCTGGTGTCCTCTCCCGCCGGCCCTCTCAGCTCTGAAGTTCTGGAGCCAAGGCAGGAGTGTGTCTACATCAAGTGTTGGGCACAAGAGAAGACACAAAAGTTGCCCTCTATCATTGCTTTCCCTTTAACTTATCAATAAGTCGTGATGAAGCCTGTAAGGCAGAAACACGCAGACGGGGCAGGCAGAGCAGGCAAGCCATCAGTGAGAGTAGTTATGACCCAGAGAATTAAATGCCAGCTCTAATGTCGGTCATGTTCAGGCAGCATTCATTGCAACTGCGACCCACGACACCAGAATATATGTGTACACAGATCATACTTAATTCCTCAATTCACTCTTAGTTTGTGAGCATGAATTTAAGATGGTGTCTTAAAGATCATGAATTAGAATGAGCCATTAGTAAGGAAACATTTTCACCAAATATTGTACTGTATAGGACTATGCTAGGTGTTGTGAGGTACCTTCATGAACTTAGCAGTTAAAAAGTGTGCACCTACTATGAGCTGGGAGGATATGAAGATGAAACAAATGAGCTCTCTTCCCTCAAGGAGTGCTAGTGGGAAGAGCACATTACACCACAACCTCCTAACTACCAGGTTATACACATGGATACTTTGTGTGTGTGTGTGTGTGTGTGTGTGTGTAAGCCTGAGATGCACGTATAAGCCTGAGAATTATATTAAATCACAATTTCATTAAAATGCCTCACTCAGCCCAAGGTAGGGGATGGCAAAGTGGGGAGCAAAGCTGGTGGATTTTATAAAAAGAGGGAATGGTCGCACCAGGTCTCAAATGATAGTTGAGGACACTCAGCCGAGAAGGGGAGAAAAGACATGTGAGGAGCCAAAATCAGAGGCAAGAATCGAAAGGCCTGGGAGGGTATGGAGCCATCAGCAAGCAGTATAGATGATCAGGAAGTAGATGAGCCCTGGGTTCGTGCTGGGAAGTGAGGCTGGGATGAAGATGGTCATGCCCCAGCTGGAGAAACTGAAATCGTATTTGTAGTTTTGAAAAGTGAATCTTGCCATGGGAGGGCAAAAATTTGAGGAGGTAAGACTGGAAAGAGCAAGACAGCTTGGAGCTGTTGATAAGTCACAGGGAGAGATTCAGGTCCAAACTATAGCCAAGTCTGTACCAGAAAAGGGAAGAGAATGACTTCAGGGGCATCTTGGAGGGAGAAGAGACTGAACCAATTTGTTCACTGCTTAAATGTTGAAATGAGGATGAAAGAGAGAAATAGAGTAAGTCTGAGGTTTCCAGTGGCACAATGGGGTAGATTGATATTTAGTAGGAAGTTAGACATTTAGTAGAAAGATGAGGAATTCATTCTTTGACAGGTAGAGCTTGCAGTTTCTGTTATAAATACAGGTTTTTATATTAATATCCAACAGAACCATGTCCCCTGTTAGCAGGAGAATAGCTGGGCTAGACACTGAGATTTGGAGACCCCAGCAGCAGAGTGGCTGGGCCGTGGGAGAGGAGAGTCCCCGGAGCTCGTGCAGACGGCAAGCGCGGCAGAGGCCCCGCAAGGTGGACGGCACTGACGTGTAAAGGGTGGGCAGAGTCAAAGGTCCAGACAGCAGCTAAGAAAGGGTGGCCAGGTGGCTCAGAGCCTGTGAGGATGGTGTCCAGAGAATGAACAGGACTGGTGGGAGCAGGGGAGGACTTGCCAGCAGGAGGGGAGCCAGCCATCTGACAAGGCAGAGGCCAGGGGTGGGAGTGTAAGCAGTAGGGATTTGGAGCAGGACTGGAGGACAGCCCTTAGGACACAGAGGCTGTAGGAGTCTTCAGATGACTAGAGCAGCTGCATTGAGGTGGTAGCAGAGGTTAATGGCTAAGGGCCTAGGTGGCATGAACGGGACCCACTGTTCTGAAGGAAACCTGTAGTCACAGTCGATTCAGTGCTGATGCAGAGTCAGGCCACAGTCAGAGGCCTCCTGGAAAGCAGAGAAGACTCACCGGACTTGCGGCCAGCTTGTCTGCTACTTGAGAGTGGCCTCAGTCGCTTTCCTGGCCCAGGCACCAGCCGCTGCCCTGTGCCTGCCCCAGCCTGGCTTGCTGCCTTCTGCTCCTCTTTGGCATGAAGGGGCTGAAGAGCCTGTGTCAGTGTGTCCGTTACACTTTACCACATGGAGGAAGGAAGCTGTGATACTGGGATGGTGTCGGAATTAGCTAAGTTCCCTGGAGGGAACCTTTATAAAGGTCAAAGGCCCAGAAGTGCCCATCCTGAAGGTGGTAGTAACTGCTCTCTTTCCAAAGGAAAGGACATGAGGACGTGGGTTCCCTCATGTGGAGGATATTTACAGTGTAGCCTAGAAACAAAAGTGCAGGTAGCTTTCTGAGCGACTAGCAATCTCAACAGAGCTTATACAGATGAGAGTCTCTGTTGGATGACGACTTGTTAGGAAGTCAGCAGGGACCTCCCCTCTGATCCGAGGCTCTAAGTCTGAATCTTCAGTCCCCTGAGCCCTGGGCTGGCCGAGGGGCCGAGACACAGAACCAGCAAAGGCACTAGATTGCATAGTGAACCTCACGTGGGGTCAGACTCCTCTTGTCAGCACCTCCACAGTCCTGGGAGAGGGCAGGGGTTTCCTCACAGGCCCTGCTGCGTGAACTTAAGGCACTAGGACAGAACCTGCTTTACCTTTTGACAAGAATCCCCTGTTGGGCTATGGGTGCCTCAACCGATAGTAACACTGAAGTATGTCCTCCAGGTCAGCCTGACAGGATTAGATGTGGTCCAGGTGGCTGGAGGAGACGCCTTTGACAAATCATTTTTGTATTATTCTGGCTTTTTATCTTACACTGGTCTTCCTCCATGTCCCATACTATGTTTTGTCTGATTTCCCCTAGAGAGTAAGCTGCATGTGAGCAGAGACGGGTCTGTCTATTTAACTCTTAACATGTGCATGGCATTTCCAAGTGTTCAAAATAACATTTTATTGATGATCAGGTGCATAAATGAGCATTGTTTAACAAGCCATACCAGTCATTTCCTTGTACCAGGACCGTTAAATAGGGTCTCATACCTTCCATGTGCCTTTGATCTTGAGTGCTTAAAGACCACACTTTTATTTTTTATCATCTGTGGTTTTAAAGCTCTTACAATGTCAGCAGTAAATGTACACATTCCCTGAGAGCTTTGCACTCTGCTATACACGATGCTCAAACTCTGCCTATTACTGATGCAAAGCCTCCACCTCTTCTCATACTGCATCGGCTGCTTCCAGGCCAGGTACTACCCAAAGAGATGGGGGAGAGGCCTCAGACACTCTGGGTACCCCCCTGCAAGCTCCCCTTTAACTGTAGGTACTTGACATTCTCTGGCTTCCTG